GAAACTGTAACATCTTATAGCAGTTTCTGTGAAGATATGTGCATTCCTACCAGGACTCATTTAACTTACAACAATGACAAACCATGGTTCACTGCAAAACTCAGACAGCTCCGTCAGGCCAAAGAAGATGCAAAGTCAAAGGGACAAAGTATTGTATAAACAGGCCAAATACACAATGGAAAAGGAAATAAGAGTGGCAAAGAGGAATTATTCTGAAAAGTTAAGGATTTAGTTCTCTTCCAGTGACTCAGCATAAGTGTGGAAAGGTCTGAAAGACATCACCAACTACAAGACACCATCCCCCAGCACTGTGGAGAATCAACAACTGGCAGACAATCTAATTAATTTTATTGCAGGTTTGAAAAAACTCCCCACACACGCTCTGAACACCTCTCCACACAACCATTAACACCTCCTGCAACCCCCCTCTCCCCCACACCTGCACTTCAGCTCAGCCAGGTCTTCTGGAAGCAGAAGAGAAAGAAAGCACCAGGCCCAAATTGTGTTACACAAGCCTGTCTGAAAACCTGTGCTAACCAGCTGGCACCCATCTTCACACAGATCTTCAACAGATCACTGGAGCTGTGCGAAATCCCTTCATGCTTCAAATGCTCCACCATCATTCCCATCCCAAAGAAACCCAACATTACAGGACTTAATGACTACAGGCCTGTGGCTCTAACATCTGTGGTGATGAAGTCGTTTGAAAAACTGGTGCTGGCCCACCTGAAGGACATTACTGGACCCTTGTTGGATCCACTTCAGTTTGCCTACAGAGTAAACTGGTCTGTGGACGATGCAGTCAATATGGGACTGCATTATGTTCTGCAACATCTAGACAGACCAGGGACTTACGTGAGGATCCTGTTTGTAAACTTCAGGTCGGCTTTTAATATTATCATCCTAAACCTCCTCCTGCCCAAATTAACTCAGCTCTCCGTGCCCACCCCTGTCTGTCAGTGGATCACCAGCTTCATGACAGACAGGCAGCAGCAAGTAAAGCTGGGAAAATTCTCATCCAGCACTCGCACCATCAGCAATGGCGCCCCTCAGGGATGTGTTCCCTCCCCACTGCTCTTCTCCCTCTACACGAACGACTGCACTTCAAAGGATCCCTCTGTCAAGCTCCTAAAGTTTGCAGATGACACCACACTTATCGGCCTCATTCAGGATGGTGAGGAGTCTGCTTACAGACAGGAGGTTAAAGAGCTGGCTGCCTGGTGCAGTCTTAACAACCTGGAGCTTAACATACTCAAAACTGTGGAGATGATCGTGGACTTCAGGAGAAACCCCCCTGCACTCCCCCCACTCATCATCATGGACAGCACTGTAACGATAGTGGAGACATTCAGGTTCCTGAGCACCACTATCTCTCACGGACTGCTGAGCGAATCATTGTTACAACCCACCCTACTCTCCAAGAACTGTACTTATCCAGAGTGAGCAAAAGAGCTGGCAAAATCACTCTGGATCCCTCACATCCAGCACACTCCCTCTTTGAACTGTTGCTGTCTGGTCAGCGCTACAGAGCACTGCTCATAATAAAGCTCATTCTGATTCTGATTCTGATGTATTGCATTTTTCATTATAACTAAGAGATAGTTCACCTTCTACTCTGCTAGACATAAAAGTTATTCTAGACTGGACTATATTCTTATATCTCATGCTTAATACTCAAAAATACACAGTGCGGATATGAAGACATGCCCTTTATCTGATCATAGTGTGGTTTCAGCTAAGATCTCTCTTGTGTCTACACCCTCTAAGGTATCACGTTGGCATTTTAATACCACACTGCTACAGAACAAAGATTAATGTGCAATGCTCAAAGAAGAGTTCAGTTGGTTTATAGAGGTAAATGCTGGACGATCTGTGGACAATCCCCGCTATCTCTGGGATGCTATTAAGGGTTGTATACAGACCTCCTCTATTTACTTTGCATCCCAGCTAAATGAATCTAGATTGAAAGAAATAAACACTCTTGAGGCAAAATTACATAGGCTAAATAATTATCAACAAATTTCCAATTCTGAAGATGTTCGGCAAGAAATAAATGTGAAACGCACAGAATTAAACTCACTATTTATACATAGAGCTGAGTTTTTAATGCACAAGGTTCAAAGAACCCATTATTTAAATGGTACAAAGCCAAGTAATATTTTAGCACTTAGACTAAGGAATGCTGAAAAATATTCAAATATTATGGCAATTCAATCTCCTATTGGCTTGATAAGTGATCACAAAGACATAAATAAAGAATTACATTTTTTTTTATCAGAATTTATATAGGTCAGATTTGATCTTCAATAAGACTCTATGCAATACCTTTTTTTCAGGATATGACCCTTACATGTCTCTCTGAAACAGAGGTGGCATCCTTGGATGCTCCAATTTATTTGGATAAGTTAAAGGATGCTCTTACACTTATGAAGAGGGGTAAGTCTCCTGGATGGGATAGAATCCCTCCTGAATTATATATGTCCTTCTGGGATCAGCTGGGACAGCCCATGTTAAATAAGATTGATCATTCCATTTGAGTGGGTTCTTTTAACAACAGTACTAATAATTAATCAACATTCTTTGATAAGTCCTAAAACATTTTGTAATACTTCACATAGGATTTCATTATACGCAGATGACATCCTGTTATATATATCAGTGATACAAGTCTATTCATCATATTTTGTCAGTCTTTTAGCCAATTCTCTGGGTATAAGATCAATTGGAACAAATCTGCATTGATGCATTGAAATAATTTATCTGTTACTTCTGTCTTATCATCTTTATGATAAGACAGACTTTATCAGTTTTAGATATTTGTGTGTGGACATCTTTCCGTCTCTACACGCAATAGCTTTGAAAAATTTCCAGGGTATATATATATATATATATATATATATATATATATATATATATATATATATATATATATATATATATATATAGAG